ATATTCTTGGTTTCTCAAATTGTTTTTCACAGCACAGAGGAAGAAAACTAATATAGTTTATATGCTAACTTTGACAGAAGAAAGGTGTTTGTGACTTATGCCAAAACTCCACCGTTTCACTTAGAGAATGGACATTTCCTTACGATTTAATTACTTRCCACTAGTATGCAGAAAATAATGTTCAACTTAACACTAAAACAAAATGCTTACTATAATGTCGAGTCAGGAKATCAGGAGAGTAAATACAGGATGTATATATTTTTTGAAGGGACATATTGAAGTTAATTTATTTGATTATYGTAAACCAAGAAGTGTCTAATATCAAACAATCTTGCTCAATAACGATTTTCCCTGCTTTATCGACTGTGCTGTGCATKAAGATTTTAACATTTTYTTCCACATTATAGCATTGTATGGCATGCTGAAATACATCACTCCTTTTTGCAGGARATAAAGGAGAAATGGCACTGCTGGGGTCACTACGTGTGTTTGCAATAATCCTATTTCCCCAAGTAACAAGTGGAGAACCAGACAGTTGCTCATCTTCATACGTCCTAAGTGAYTTCCGATTACAAGGCCATGTGCTTATCACATCATCCACAAGTTACTGCATGCAGGAGTGTAAATTGCACAGGCAATGCTACAGCATTAACTATCACAGTGATAAAAAAATCTGTGAGCTTAATGATGCCAATCACTTGACAAGACCTGAAAGTTTAACCTTCACGCCGGGATATGACTACATAAACAACCCTGCTCGCTCTCCTTCAATCTGCAGCATCAACTACTGCAGCCGAAAAAGAGACGTGTGCTTGATTGACAGAAGTGGACAGGACTACAAATGTGTGTCATGTAAAGGTATGTAAAGGTATTTAATAATAATAATAATTTAATTCACGACATCGTTTGCAGAATGACTGATAACAATATTCAAATTCCGATTGCTCGCTTTCGCATGAACAGGTTTTCTTAAAGGAAACTAATTTCAAGAGTCCATGAAAAAGTCTCAAGAGGAGAGGATTCTGTTGTTCGAATCCGAACTAAGAAAACATTCATTTAATCTATTCAGTTTTCACGAAAACCACGTGAATTGAAAACTAAGTTTGTTAGCTACCTCGCACGTCAKCATTACGCTATATACAGCCCGAGGGCCTCCGTTCTCGGTAACTAACTCTTAMATAAAARGAATTTTGTAAGAAGAGGAGCGTCTTTATTTCCATTTACACTTTCCATTTCCATCTAACAGGACACGTAGGGCAAGAAATCATGGTATTCCCAAAACCAAGTGTGAAAAACAAAGTTGTTCTGGAGCACTGGTTTGAGTCATTGACCGCCTTTACAGTATGCTCGTGKAACCAGGCTACTGTAAAAAATTTTCACGCACTCTTCAGCTATGCCACCTCTAGCAGTTCAAACGAAATATTTGCAGAGCTCAGACGACCTTCGTCAAGCCGCGCATTTCTACGTGTCTCCCTAATTAATTTTGTCAGGTATCGTAATAGCTGGTTTTATTATTTCGGCGAAGCATAGCTCTTTTTGCGTGCAAGCAAGACTGCGCAACCAATATGTATGTCTTTGTAGTAATATTATTTGAGAGACTCACATATTCCTTTTCGCGCATTCTTTGTAMACAATGGGGTCCTAGTCGTAGACAACTCAACTTTATAGTGCTTATCTCACTCTACTTTRCTAGGGAAGTAGAGTATCCTGCCGATGACAAGTGGCACCATTTTTGCTTGACATGGGAGAACACTTTTGGGAAATGGGAAATATACATCGATGGTATTCTGGTATCTCAAGACAGATGGAACGCAGGCCGGGTTATCRACAAGGGTGCTGTTATACTTGGTCAGGATCAAGACCGGTACAAGGGAGGCTTCCAATTGAATGACGCTTACCAAGGCAACTCAACCAATGTTAACCTTTGGAATAAGGTGCTCACATCGAAAGAAGTGATTGACTTATCTCGATCATGCTCCTTTGGAGAAGGAAATGTTATCAATTGGTCGGACTTCACAGCCAGGGTAGAAGGGGACATTCRACTGATATGCTCACTTGACAGATGTGGCAAATAAAGTATGCATATATCTCGCTCCATCAGCTTCATATGAGCAGAAAATGCCATCACATATGTAGAAAGTGCTTTTCATTTTTCACCAATGCATCCATCTTCCTGAAAGAGATGCTGGAAAGTATGAGTTGACAGTATGAAAATACAAGCAATCTTTKTGTTTAAAGGACATTGGCAATCAAAATGAAAAACCTCTCAAGAAAAGTACTTACATATAGATACATTTTAGTGGATTTACTAAGATTAATAAGGACTGCAAGTAAATAGCCAAAATGCTTTCAAATTTGGCGCCATCTTGAATTTCTGCTTTATTTAAATGTATTCAGTGACGTCATTAGCAGGGCAGATCTCAAGCCGCTTTGCG